CAAACTGATCTAAGGGTATGAGCCAGGATTGTTATGGCAGATAGGATAAATTTACCTTGGCTTGCTGATAAGTTTGTTCTGGGATGATCACACAACCAACTTAATGCCATATTATGGCATATGTACCTATACCAGCAAAATCAGTCGTGCGCGTCCGTTTTCTGGGGCCGGAAGTCGTACCATAATCGGAAATGGTTTTTGACTGTTCAACTCGTGGCTATGGTGCATGTTGCTCATCGGTTATCGCACTACAACTGCTGGTACTTCACAAGATACTGTCCTGCCATGTCACCTAGCTAATGCAGGGGAATTAGCCCGACTCTGATAAGTGATACGGCAACACTGAGCCCTTCTGATGCTATTGTGTTTATTCAAGAGTTACTTAGATGACTCAGTCAGATCGACGGGTTTGTCGAAGGGCTTCGAGTGCCCGTCTCTAGTGGAATGTGGGTGGTTCACCCGTCGGTAATAAGTGCATTGTTGTAGTGGTTGATACAGGCTATCGTTTTAGCGCTCATGTTGTCTCAGTCCTGGGTAGTTTTATGTTATCAAATGATTCAGTACTCTGTCTTGAGTCCCCTCCTCGCTCTCTCCCTCCCTCCCTCTCTCCCCCTATTTCTCCCTGTGACCGTATCTGAGCCGGTCTGCGCCGCTGCGTCCTCAGATGTACCGGGGACGCGGCGCCGGAGGCCGCGGTGGCCGGCCGTTTCCCCTGCGCGGCGTCCGACCCGTCCAGATGAAGCCCGGCCGCGGCCGCCCGGTCGGACCGCCCGGCTTCTCTCCCAGCCGCGGCCCGCGGCCGCTGCTGGAGCCCGGCTGGGCGCCGCGGCCGCCGCCCCCTCCTCACATGATGCGCGGCATGGGCCCGCGGCCGCCGCCGGCGCCCTACGCCTCGCCGATGCGCGGCCGCGGCGGACCCCCGAGAGGCCGCGGCGCGCCGCCCCGGGGCCGCGGCGCGCCGCCCGCCAGTCCCGCAGCCAGGGGGTTCTCATCCAGCCGCTCACGTGGAGCCACCAGAGGCAGGGGGCGGGGAGCCGGCAAAACTCAGACCACCTTCAAGAACGACATCAAGAGCAGCAAAAATGAAAAGGTGAGCGCTTACCGTCCAAGTTCCGTACTTCTCCGAACGTAGCTCGGTTTGCCGCAATTCCAGTGTGCAGCTCATTGTCAGGTGTGCGCCAGTTTGCCTGTCCCGTTCTCGGTACATCCAGCGGTACGGCTAAGTGTCACGCCGAAGGCACGGTGTCGTTGCGTCACGTGCCCGTCACGTTAGCGATGTCCCTGAATGCGTCGCGTGCGGTTCGCTGAAGTCCGTGATCCCCCGCGGCGTCCCCGCTGACGGTCGCCGCGCCTTGTGTGCACGGAGGGCGGCAATGTGCCCTTGGAGGGGACACTCGGCCAGGGAAAGGGTGGTTTTGTGGCCTGGAAAGCATGGTCATACGTCATGCTAAGTGGTAACCACCCTGTCCCATCACGTGACCCTCACGTCTATTGTTTTTGTTGTTTAGTTAAATGTCACATAGTTACTTCTTTATTAGTGTCGCAGAATTCATTGATGCACCTGACAACTTTGATGAGTTATAGGCTGAAATGCTGCAAAACGTGATCAAGCTTGGATGTGCCTTTCATCTTCAGCTCCCCTCGTTTCTGTCGTACCAGTTTGACTAATTAATTATTAACCCTCTGATGTTCTCGCTAAGCTGGTCATCAGTTCCGATCCTGATGAGCCCCCAGCAGCTAATCCGTCGTCCCCCTCGGTATGGCAGCAGCGGGACGAGATCGCTCTATCCCGGCCGTGGATCAACGACACGCTGCGGGCCGAGATAAAGAAAAAGTCTGAGCTGCAGGCCATCTCGATGAAGTCCAAGTCGGAGAAGGACTTTGAGGCGTTCAAAGAGCAGCGCAACAAGGTCGGCAACATGCTGCGCGCCGCCAAACTCGAGTACATTGGCATGCAGGAGGAGGAGGTGAGAGACTGAGCGCGGAGCTGGATGGGACACCGGGTGGTAGTGTAGCGAAAGGGGTCGCCTGAATAGTGATTGAACGAGAATTGTGCCATTTGTTGGCTAAATTACTTATTGTTGACCTTTTTATGGTATTATGTAGCAAATGACGAGTTATGGTATCATTACGGAGCGAGCGAAGCGAGCGTAGTCTTTCCTTAGATTAACGGAAATTTCTGAGTATGAGCGGCCGGCCGGCCGGCCGGCCGTGCGGACGCTTTTGCGAGGCTTATATCTCAGCAACCACTTGACCGATTTACACGGGGTAATTTTTGTAGGGTAGCTTCATTCCTTCTACCAAGTATTGGACTATTCCCGATGCATGTGGGTGACCCCTTATGCACGTGCCACGTGCAAAACGAAGAGGTGTCACTTTTGTAATTGTTGCAATATCTCGGTAACTACTTGGCCGATTGCGCTGAAAGTTGGCATGTTGGTAGGCACCCACCAGGCACTGCATATTCATGTGCCAGAGTTGGGGTGCTGCTGCACGTGCGCACGTGCAGGGGTCGTTTCCAGATCTCGAGAACGGCTGGACCGATGGCGGTCAAATTTGGTACACGGTTAGCGACCAATTAGTAGGGTGCCGTGCACAAGTCAGTTGGGACCCATTTTGCACGTGCGCACGTGCAGGGTGCCGCTTCCAGATCTCGAGAACGACTGGGCCGATTGTGCCCAAATTTGGCACATCGCTAGAGACCGGTTAGTAGGGTGCCGTGCACAAGTCAGTTGGAGGTACCCCCTCGCAATTTCGCACGTGCAAGGCCCACCCTCTCGCTCGCTCCGTTAGTCGCCCCAAAAGGCGTTATACTTGTTTTTACAAATGCTGTGGCATGATAAACAACTTGCTGTGCTGACCTTACCAAATGTGTAACACTTCCTTTATTTCACAATAGTTCTTAGTGAACGACATACAGTGTGGCCAAATTGGTGATGTTGCGGGGAAAGTCAACCCCAATGAAAAGTATAATGACATCCTCAGAAATTTTAAAATTACATCATCACAACGTTTTTGTTGTGAGCATACCTAGTGAAGGAATAAAGACTAAAAATGTTCCAATGTACGATTCACACCGTCATACTCGTACTGTCGCGCTTGCAATGTTTTTTCATCTTTGATGACAATATTTGATTTTTTGTTTTACTTTCCACCAGAGCTTGACGTCAGGTATAGTTTTTCCACATAACTTGTAAAAACTGCACCTAAAATGACACTGAAGACGAGTTTTTGAAAATAGTGACATCCTCATACGACTTTTTTATACATCCTCCCCCTAACGCTAAACCAATTTGGCCACACTGACGACATATCAAAGTACTTTGAAATTCAGTGCAGTCTTGAGTCCCTTTGAAATGAAATCAATTGATTACGGTGGCCGAAGACTTCCACTGCCGTTGTAACGTTGCTTCATTGTTGTCCGTTTCCTCACACACTCCCCGTTTTCAGGACGTAGACAAGATTATGGCCGACGCTCGGCAAAAGACAAAGGAATCTATGACCGAAACCAAAGGCGAGGTGAAAACCGAGAACGGTAACGGCACGTCAGACGCGGCCCCGGCGGCGGAAGCGACCGCCAACGGAGAGGCCGCCGCTGACGCCCCAGTCAAGACGGAGCCGACGGCGGAGGCGGCCGCCGTCTAGCAGCTGGCACCCGCTCAAGCCCCTGCGGCCTACCTGTCTTATGTTGGTCCCCGCTCCATCGCTCCCTGTGTTCAGCCCCGTGAAGACTGAGCCGCCGCCCGGCGGCGGCTGCGCGAGATTACAGTTCACTGACAGCCCGATAGATGGCGAGCGATACGCCGTGTTGTGAGAGGGATGACGTACCGTCGGTAGGTTTCCTCGGCCGGGCGAGGTCACACCCCGCCCCGCGGGAACCGTGGGCCATTCCCGTGGAATGGCGTGCTTATGTTGAGGCGAATTGGCGGCGGACCGAGCGTCTGCCTCCCCAGGAGCGCCGCAGCCCACAACCTCAGTTGGTTTTTACAGTACAACGGCGTCGGACCATGCGTTCATCTGAGGCGGGCAGCTGAGGCCCGCAGGTACCCGTGGCGAGAGGCCAATTTTTGTACGTGCTTCTGGCATTCAATACACGGGTCATTCCTGGCATTTTTCGTGGCGGATATCAGATATGGGACCGATGGTACTGGCTGGTGACGTGGGGACTGGGGAATGGGTTGTCATTGGTTTGTTGTTTGTTTTGCTGGGCCGGTCTGACGAGATCATTGCAGAACCGGAAGGATGGCCTGAATAAGGGGAAGACATTGGTCTGGGCGGGCACCCTGGTGAGTCGGGGCTGAGCCCATCTAGTGGACACAGGACAGGCCACCCAGGATCCTGACACCGCACCCGGCTACGGGCCTGCTCACGGGAGCTGCCCACATGGGATAAAGTTGCCCGTCCAGCCCGGAACAGGGGGTTGAGGTGTGGGGAAGGATTTGCCCGATTTGCTTATCCTGAGGAATGAGTATGGAGACGACGAAACGGATGGCTTATACTGGGTTTATTGGGTCTGGAGAGCTCGTTCAATGTGCAAGAAAACAGGCGAACGAGACGAGAGGATCGTTTGATAACAAGAGGCACCGCACCGCCATAAACTAAAGAGAGTTTTGGTAGTGGGGAAGAGTGCAAAGGTTTGCGTCATCATCATCGATTGTTGATCACCTCGGAACGCCAAATAATCCAAGGCCGTATATAGGAAATAATCGCTTTAGTGCATCAGTCGACACCAGGCATCGTCAGGCAGCGACATCTACATCGACTGGAAGGGAACCAATGGTTTACGGAACCAGCCATAGAATCAAAGCAGACGCCCGATAGTTGTTGAGAGATTTGTCTAAAAGTGTTTACAATAATTTTCACTCAATTTTTATATCCGGTTAAATGAAACTTTTTTATATCCCATGGATAACACAGAAGACATCTTTGAGTGCAATACTTTTTATAAACTACTAGAAAATTTCGCGCGCTTTCAGCGCAGCTTCATAAGTGACGCATTTGTTACTATTGCATCTGTTCTGTCAGGTGACTCAAGATTTTGTTGCCAAGCAACTTGCTTGAATTCACTCTTCAAATGCCTGGTTGCTATGCAATTAGGTGTTGCTGACTGACAACAGAACTATTGAACACAAATTATGGAAAGCGTGCTTTTTCGTGGTTTACGGGTTCAGTGGGTTTACTTCAAAGCGATCAAATTTCTATTTGACGACCTTGTTTGACGGGGTTGTGTGCGGTCGTCATTCAATATAGTAAGTTTTTGCGTTGTTAGAGAACATTTGTTGTTTTATGGTAGCGTGTTAAGTGAGAGAAAAACAGAAAGGAGGTTAAAGGAGGCAGAACAGTTGCCAACCTCGAATGTGCTACTTGTGTCGTTCTTGTTGAAATTGAAATACGGGATCGGCCCATGCCTGTGCTTTGTTTCCAGAATCAGCTCATGCAGTACACCCTCCTAGTTCTTCAAAACTTCCATGTCCTACATATCAATATGGCCGATTCAATCAACGTCATCGTAATTCGGAATGGAGTTTGCGGTTCATGTCATTTGATCCACATACCTATATTTAGCCAGCTGGGAACTGGTGAGAGATAACGGTGAAAACAGGGTGCCTGGGGCAATTCGATCAATGCTCTTGAATTTCACTCGCATAAACTATGTGACAATCACTGTGTAACAAGCACTCTGTTAGAATGCGTTGAGAGTGGGAGAACTTCTCAATGGTCACGTGACCAAATATGCCCTTCGGCACCCTGTTTTCACCGGCGTCCCTGGTGAGCCATGAGGGAGGACCACTCTAAACCTGAGCAGTCTATTTAGACAACATTTCTATAAAATGTTCAATATTGTGGCTCATCTTGTGGTTTTTCCTGATGTTCCTTGATTTGATCCTGCTCTGCCCAAGTTGACCCTGACTGGGTGGGGTGCATGGGTGGATGTCATCTTGCACTGCTGCTTGCCGCATTTTGGCACACCAGTGGCCTGCCCAAGTTACGCTGTAGTGAAAACGCATTGATTTTGATCAAATTGGGCTAACCCAAGCTATAGCCCAAGCCACCCAATGTTGGCTACAGCTCAGCCCCAGCAATATTGGTGGCTGGGTACATGGGTACCTAATACCTATCTAATCATATTGTCTAGCACAGCCTAAATCATTAGCACAGTTGCCAGTTGGTCATTTCTCCATTGTTGGACTAGCGCAGATATTGCAAATATTGTTGGCTGAAGTTGACTTTTGAGAAATAGGAATGACAGCAAACATGCTGCTAGCTTCCCCAAATGTGTTGAGAGTGGTCTATTACTATAAGAACAAAGAAGTACATGCATAGTAAGGAGGTTGATTCTTATTAGAGAAGGCCATTCATTGAATGGTTGCACAGCAAGGAAAAGTTCAGTTTTCATCCCTCATTAAAGTGATGGGTGCAGGCTGAGTTGGATCAGGCTGCTCAACCACCCATGGGGGCATTTTGGCCTTGTGGAAGGCATGTTTTGTTAGGTACAAAAGATTCACATTCTGAACCTCCTTGTAATGACTTATTTCAGACAAGTACCAGTCATGCCTGCTGAGATGATCAATGCCAGCCTGGAAGCCTGGCTGACAGCTCCTCTGGATGAGATCGGACGTCGGTTCTCCGCCGGTTTGGCGGCCGGCCTTTCCGCTGCCGCGGCTGAGCAGCAGGCTGCCGCCGCGCTGACAGAATTCGCCAGCCAGCCGGACATCTGGCGCCAGCTGCCTCTCCTCAACGCCACACCCTCGCACGCCTGGCGCGCCGGACGGCTGGCGCGCTTCCGCGGGATGGTGCAGGACATGCACGACCCCGAGTTCTACCTGCGGGCGTTCGGCGTCCGCGGCGCCGGCGCCACGCGCACTGCCTGCGGTCGCTACCGGGACGTGGTCGACTGCGGCCCAGATGAAGCACTCGACCCTGACGTGCAGGAGACGGGAGACCGACAGACGCTGCGCTGTGTGACGGTCCCCCGCCGCACGCCCTGGTCACGGGAGGAAGACCGTCCCGCGGCGCCGCCCACCGAGACAGGAAGTGGTGAGAGGGAGTCCTCGGCTGCCAAACGGACCCACGAGGACGAGGAAGAGGACTGTGAGATGCAGGAGGAAACTACAGCGGAGGACGGGGAAAAGAAGGTCCGCACGACGAACGGATCGGCAAACTCGACTGCGCCGGCCACTGGTGGCGAGAACTCCTCTGAACAAAGCGCTGCGTCTGTTGCCGCTGCGGCGGTGGCGCGCGATCTCCCCATACCCGGCTCAGACGCCATGGTGTGTCTGGTCAAGGTGTACAGCGACGAGCACGAGCTGGCGCTCAACGATCTGGTAGAGTTTGTCGGCGTGGTAACGCTCGATCCGACGCTGGCGGCCGCGCCGGAGGTTGAGGACGCTATGGAGGCGGACGAGGCGGCGGCGCACCACCCGCCGCCGTCGCTGGCGCCGCGCCTGCACGCTGTCACGTGGCGCCGCCTGGAGCACAGTAACCCCCTACTGCCGGACGTGCTGCCCGCGCCTCCGGCAGAGGCGGCGGAGGAGATGTCTGCCACCCGCCGCCAGCTGCTGACCGTCCTGCAGACCGCGCTGCTGGGCGATGCGCTGGCCGCTGAGCTGGTCCTCTGCCATCTCCTCTCCTCTGTCTACATCCGTCACGACGTCATGGCGCTGGGGAAGCTGGCTCTGAACGTGTCGAACCTGACCCCCGCGGCGACAGCGGCCGGTCTGCCGCGGCGGCTCTACTCGCTACTGGAGAGACTGACGGAGAAGGCGCTGCTCGTGCCACTGTCGATCGCCCACCTGAACTCTGCGACACTCGTGCCCAGTAAGGACTACAAGCGTAACGTGCTGGTGACGGGAGACCTGCAGCTGAGCCGCAACACCCACCTGGTACTGGACGAGACAGAGCTGTCGCAGGGTGAGTGGCGCTAGACTAGACTGTTACTAGCAGTAACGTAATCGAGTTGTGACATCTGTGCTGATAAAAGCCGGGTGCGGAGTTTAAAGTGTTGGTTTTTTATATAGTCAGATACCAAAGCAGAGGGATTGCTTGCTAGAAGTTGTTTTAGTGTGTTTTTACTTCAGTCTGAATGTCTTAGGTCCTAGTTCTAATATCGTGCCATAATCGGCTGTGTGCGGTCTTCACGCATCCTGACCCTTGTAGGCGATTCCATGAATTTGCTGTGTACCTTGCTCTGACCTACCCCTCCCCTTTTCTCTCAGGTCAGCTGGATGAGCGCGGCGTCAAGAACCTCTCCGCGCTGGGTCACCTGATCACCTGGCAGAAGGTCGAGTATGACTTCTCGTTCCACCGTCTGGCGTACGAGGCGGACGTGCCGGTCCTGGTGCTGTCCGAGGGTCGCTCTCTGCTGCCCTCTGACTGCCGGGTGCCCCTGCAGCCCGCGGAGGAGGCTGAGAGACTGCCAGAGCAGCACCGCGCGCTGGAGGAGTACCTGACGCCGTCCCTGCTCCAACAGATCAGGAGGTGAGGGACTGGGGGTGGGAGGATGGACTGTTGGAGACGTGATTTCATTTCATGCTGTGGTAGAGACATTCCTCGGCTACTGAACATTGGTAGTTTCATCAATATCATTTTATTTTAATCCTATGAATGTGCCTCACCTTCCGTCCTCCTTTTGAGAGCTCAAATGCCTGACATTTTACTTTCCCATTTTCCCACAGGCTTTTGGTGGTCTCTCCCTTCTTTATGAGTATGACATCGTTCTGACCCCTCCCCTCAGATACCTGACGGTGTGCCGACGCCTGCCCTACGCGGTCCCCGAGGCTCTCCAGGCTGCCGTCCAGCAGGAGTTCGTCAGCTGGCGGCAGGAGTCGGGTAACCAGGTGAAGGCAGAGGACCTCCACCACCTGCTGGTGCTGGCGCGCCTGCTCAGCCTGTCCCACGGAAAGACAGAGCTGACAGAGGAGGTGTGGAGGGAGGCGCGCCGGATAGAGGAGCAGAGGAGGGCGCGCGTGGAGCGCGCCGGACCCACACCCGTCGCTGCCTGAGCGGTGACCTGATACTGGAAGGGTGAGTGGGATGGAAACGACCTTTTGTGAGAAACCGATGGGTGTTCGCGAATTTGATGGAAAGTTTGGAAAACGTGCAAGCTTTGCACAGGTAGCATTCCAGTTGTGACACGCACTTTCGATTGTCTGCAAAATCGGCGCATGTGATTAGTTCGGGTGTTGTGTGGCCTTCCAGTACGGCCATGTTTGTGGTAAAGTACAACGTGCGGCGAGATGGCCCGGTGATAGAAGTGATTCGGTAAGATGATTTGGGGTTTCAGCAAGTCCGCTGAAACACCTGAGACCTGAATGATGGTGTGATGTGTTGTCGCTTGCTCGGCGTGTTGTTTGGTCTGATACATGTAAGGAACTGAACCTGTTTCGGCTAATACTGCTGAAGCGTTTTGACTACCTGATTCGTTAGGAGATTGTGAGGACCAACGTTTGTGTGTCCTAGTTTTCTACCGCTCTCTGCTTGAAGCTCAGCGTCTCTTCCTCTAGTGCATTGTTTTGATCAATACACCAGCTTTGCTATTATTTTGCGTAAGGTTTCGTCATTCGTGCGCTTTTTATGGGGAAGCAATCCTTCCAAACATATTTCAGAAAGCTTGTATGACAAACACACCCTCCAAACAATCAGCACGTATTTTCTGCTGACAGCCGGCGGTTGATGCCTCGTCCTCGGCACTCCAGCCGCGCCACTAGCGGCCTTCGTCCGACCTGATACTTCCTCCTCCGACCGAGAGAGGGCACTGCGATCGGCAGTCTGGCTCAAGTGGGCGACCACCACCGGTGAGCCAGCCGTCTCTCCTTTCCCTAGCTCTTTCATCCCGCTCAAACACTAGTGTCGACAGTTCGACTCTGATCCCCATGCAGTGTAGAGGAGCTGGCAACTTCGAGCGAGCATATTGCATATTCAATGAAAATGTGAATTTCTCATGTTGGTAACTCTTGTAATCATTCGCGCACTCAAACCAAACGGAATTTGGCCCTCTTTGCATGGTTTGGGTCCCGATTAGTCCACTCCCCACTACAAACCAGCGGACGTCCAGTCTCATCCCTTCACCACCCCCGCCTCTCCGTTATCACTAGGGCTGATCTAACCGTCCCCGTGCCGTGTGCCGCCACCCCTCCCGCCGACCTTCCCAATGACCTTCCATGGAGCTGCGGACGTGCATCGCTAGCATGTCACGCTGAGCTGCCCATTGGATATGCAGTTAAAAGGCCAGTGAAGTCATACCGGGGATGTAAGGCGCCGCCGTGGTCCGTTTGACGTGGACACTGGTCAAACTGGTGGAACTGCCGGATTATGGCACGGGCGATGATCAGCTGAATGGAGAGTTTGTCGGGGTCGGACAGGCAATGGGGCGTCTGCCCAATGCATTTATGTTTGAAGTGACATTTAAAGCATTGTTGGCTGTCTAGACACTTCAATTGCTTTATTCGTGAATGGTCGTACAAAACTGCTCAGCAGGTGATTCAAAGAAAGGTTTGGTTGCAATTTTTCAATGGAAGATGCCTCAGTCAATGGGACTGAATTTATGACGCAATTTATGACGCAATGATAATTTCTTACGCATAACCTCGCGCTGCGCGATGGGCTTACCACGAGTTCTCATATTCCCCACGGACTGCGGTCATCCCAGACTGCTGTTAATGATAGCGTTTCACATACTCAAAAATTCCACCGAACCATCTACCGTATTTCAACACGATCCACTGGTCACAAACTGACCACAACTGACACCGCAGGGTCACAGTTCAGGTCACCGGCCGACCTAGCTGCCACACGAGGTCACGGGCTGACCTGACCGTCATACGGAGGTCGCTGGGTCAGAGGTAACTTGACCGAGGCACCGGTTACAGCGCGGGGCTGCGGTTTCTCGGTCGACAATCGGCATCGACCACCGGTGCTATAACCGAGCGGGTGGCCGGCTGGTCGGGTCCGCTGGACCTGCGACTGAGCCAGTGGTGGGGGGGGGGGGGGGGGGGGGTCGCGAACCGGCGAGGTGGTGGAGTCGACCGGTGGGTCGCGACTGGATCTCGAACTAGGACGACTATGCAGAGTTTCAGAACGGGTTCGACTTGTATCTTGGATTTCGGCGGAGGCTAAATAAGACTGTGAATTAGATGAACAGTTCTGTTCCAGCTCAGCCATAACCCTGGATTTTTGGCTTATGACATGACGGATGAAATTCCTAGCAACACACCATGTGTAAAACCTTACAAATTTGTAGAACATAATCGCCTAATCAAGGAAATGAAGCTCAAATTTCTGAGTTTTATCGTTTGGTCTCGGGGCATTACAAGGACGTCAGCTAAAAAAGGCTTGCCTGTCTGAGTATCCAAGCTTGCTCTTGTGCACTGCGTGTGACTCGGTGACTTCGTGAGCTCACTTGGTTTTCGACAATAGCACTGATTCTAGTCTATGACTTAGTTCTGGAAGTATTGGCATCTGGTTCAAGGAGTGGCAAAACTAAGTGTGTCTCGTGAGAAAAGTTCCCTTAAGTTTATAGACAGACCAAAAATATTTCTCAGTGCATCCGACACACCGAACAAAGAAGCGCGCGATACCTACCTTTGCTCCTCCCCTCCCACCAACGCATGAAACCGGACCCTCCCTCCCCCCCTCTCTCTCTCTCTCTCTCCCTCCCTCTCTCTCTCTCTCTCTCTCTCTCTCTCTCTCTCTCTCTCTCTCTCTCTCTCTCTCTCTCTCTCTCTCTCTCTCTCTTTCTCTCTCTCCTTCTCCCGCCGTAAGACGGGCTCTGCGCGCTGTCCCTGTCCCTTCCGGCGTCCGTCGACGCACATGGCCATCCAACAGCCGGTACCTACACTCTGCAAGCTCTGTCTCTGTCTACTGACCACTGCTTTCACCCTGCGTGAGCGGCGCCATCCCACCCCGCCTCGCCCCGTCCCGTCCCGTCCCTACCCTTTCTCGGCACGGTGCAGGAAGAGACCCGCCCCTCGCCTGTGCGGGAGGGGCCCTCTGCAGAGGGGTGGGCGTGCAGTTTGATGGGTGGGTGTAGTCGACTGGAACGATTGGATCGCTTGGAAAAGTGAGTGGCGATTTATTGGTGGTAGAGGCGTCTGCAGGATGAACAGGGAATTGGATGGGGTACGGAGAGGTGGTCAATGTATTCATTAGTAATTGAACTACAATTCATGTGTCTGGGTGCTGTAGGTGGATTATACGGAGCTCCAAAGGGAACGCCTTGAAATACTTTTACCATGCCTCATCGTGTCATATTGTTTCGCATCGTTCTGTTGACTGAACTTACATTGCGGCCAGCTTGCCATACTACAAAATCAACTTGGATTAAATTTTCCCACCTGCAGTAAATTAACGATATCGTATGTAACAACTAACAAACACGATTAAAATATTTGCACAAGCGCGACTGTAGCTTTAATCCCCTTCCCAGAAAGACCTTCCCTCTTGTCAAAGACCCATGCCGCCCTCAATCTCATCCCACTTCACCCGTCCACACTCCGCTCTGTTCACCTCCGCCCGTGTCGTGCACACAGTCACACGGAGCGTGCACGCTCCGACGGCCCTGTGCACGGTGCATGGCGTCGTCAGTGACGCAGCCGGTCACCACAGGATTCCGCTCGGGTTTAAAGGTAGTGTGCCACCTTTGAAAGATTTCCCATTTTATTTTTCCTAGGATAAGAAGCTTCTGTTTTTACCTAATATCGCAAAAAAATCAAAAATGGGCCTGGAATAGTGCCTTTTTCGCCTAAAAGTTTTTCGGTTTTTAGATATGTATAACAACTGTAGTGGGCTCACCTGCAAACAGGCGTCGGGCAACAATCGCGAATGCGGCGCACTTGTGACAATGAGCAAAGGTCATTATAGTGTTACGACCATACGACGTACGGGAATGAGTTATCAGCTGTCTAATCGTAGACAACACAATGTCGAGCCTTAAACTGTAAGCCCGTATTGGTATTGTTTCTTTTATTTGGCTGTCGAACATTATTTATGGTTTGAAATATGATTTTATGTAAAATAATTGATATGAAAAAGCCGTCTTATAAGTTATGACCCCATTTCACCACACGCAAGTGGCAGAAATGACAATGATCAGCTGACGCATTTTTCTTGGCCGAAGTCAGAGCGCGCGGCCCGACGCACCACGCGTATTTGGAAATTCCGACCTCGACGAGCATCAGAAGCCACCTAACAGGCGTGTTCGAAACCGCAGGAGATGATGATGAACGGGTTTATCGAAACTTGATTGGATGAGCATATCGGTAATAGCGATTTCAGTGTGTGCATTTATTGTTCATAGTGGTGTGAAATGTGGTTGGGGTACGACCGACAACCCGTCGGGGCGAATTTCGCACTGGGGTACTCAAAATTTGAAGAATTTAAGACGTTTCCATGAGTTTTGAAGGTATGGATAAGTTCTAAAAATCCGGTTCTCCTTATCTGGGCCATTAACTCCATACCAGGGGCGTCGCCACGTATTTTTGAGTGGGGGGGTCGGGTTTCCGGTCTTCGTCTTGATGGGTAGGGGTGTTTTTAGCCACACGCCCGGTAGTTTCGTGTGCCCGGAGAAAAACCTCGGCGCGCAGCGCCGCGAAAGCAGCGGTATATGTTATTGTACATCAATTTTTCATCGTGCATAAAAATCAAGCACAGGTCACCTGAGGTCAGGTCACAATGTCATGTCAAGTTCAGTTTTAATGCCTCTTAAAACTGCAATCTTGTCATTCCTATAGATTATCTCCTGACTCCTATAAGTCTGAAATTTGGTGTAATGAATGGGATTATAAGTGCCAACAGTTCATGGATCTGGGATTTTACATCTGAGAAGTGAAGTCAGGTCAAATAGGTGTGTGACCTCACCAATCATGATAAGATATGGGAAAAAGCACGATGCCTTCTGCTTTGAAGGAATATGCTAAAAACGCTAGATACCTACTTTTGTAGCCATGGCACCTTGTTCATTTTAGAGACAAAGTGCAGCTAATGACCAGTGGTGACTGGAATGGTCAGTGATTAGGTCATCAAAGGTCTCTAACACATTTTCGACAACAACTTTTAATGGAGGCGTTGTAGAGCGATGACAGCACCTGGAGTGTGTTCAGCTCAGTAACACAGATCGATCCATATGCATATGGATGCAGCTGCTGCTGCATGAGGATGAACCTGCTGCATGCAGCAGGTTCTTTTCTAGTCAGGTCATGACCTTTGCCTGATGTCAAGTTTTCTATTCAAGTTCAAATTGTAAGCCATGCGACGTGTTTCGACGAAACAAAAACGATGGTGATAACATGAATATCATACACATTCACTGAATCATAGGTTGTTACATAACAAATGTTTCGTCAAAATCCGTCCGTTTAGCTGTTTGGACTCTATGGTACACAAGCCTCTGTGCAATGTCTGTCAAAAGTGTTTTGCATTTATGTATTGACGTAGATAGGGGAGAGTGGGGTGGGTTGTATCAGTTTTTACTCCGAGACCCATAAACTCGTAACTATCCGTGATAAACTCATTATTTCCATACTGTCCCCTTCCTTGATTCTTC